GACCTCCATCGGTTCGTCAGGTGGGGAAAGACTACATTGGCAGGGACTATGGGAATATTCGGAGCTTCGTTCAGACCTCCTTTCTCGGAGTCTTCGGTCAATCGTAAGTGATCTCTGAATTATAGCATCCAACGACGGTGGTAGTTCCGCTCGGGCAATCTCGTCTTTCAGTGCCTCGGATAGGCCTAGACGGAACTGGTTCCTAAGGCTGACATCGATCACGACCATCTCGTGAATTCTGCAACATAATCCTCCACGGTCTCCGGCCTTGTTTGAGGGCCCTAATGGCGGCCTCTGCAGTTAGTTGTTTTGTGGAGTCCTCAGAGGAGCGACATGGTGTCTAGGAAGAGGGGGAGAGAATTCAGGATTGGGTCTTTCTTCTCGACATAGGCGTTGGCCCAGGCTCTGGGCTCTCCTCTGAGGTAGGAAATCAGTGTGAGGACTTTCACCTTGTCAGTGGAGTAAGTCCGAGGCCTTAGTTCGAACATTTGCTTTAGTTCGAATAGTTTGCTAGCATTAACAAACTCTCGGTATCTTCGCCTGTCACCGGTGAAGAAATCAGGGGGGCTGACCTTTGGTTCAGCAGCTTATCTTGCCGGAGCTGGTTGGGGGTGTGCTAACGCTCCGAGAATCTGGTTCTCTTGTCAGATGGCTGGATCCATTCTATATTCGGGTTCCATTATTCTGTTACGCTCCCTTGGTTTACTAAGGCTAAATTGAATCACAGCTGCGGACCAAATCCTTCTTTGGTTCCAGGTGTGGCAATCAGGCTTGATTCCCAGGTTTCACCCTCAATCATAAACGGAGAGTTTGGGAATCTTGCATCATATACCACAAAACAAAAGATATAACGGAAGACTTAGCAATGCTTATTAGTCTCATAAGCTAGCTAGATATGTTGGAAATAAGGTAAATCACAAGGCAATCCACATAGACAGTCTTAATGTAGTAAGGTCAAGTAGATGGTAGTACTTTAACTGGTATGGTAATAGGCTGCTACCGTCAGAATTGAGCACAGTACAGTTCCAATTAGCAATGCACACTGAACTATAGTGAGAGTCAATGGGTAAGATGAGCCTCCCCCACAACTACAGTACTTGCGCTTTGTGACAGGTTCCCCTGGAGCTCCCAGAGAAGTTGGAGGGTCCCGTGCGGTGGCGATCCTGGCTAGTAGCAGCTGTAGCAGGTAGGAGAGAGGATGAGGCTCCTGGCTCGTTGGGGCATACAACCCAATAATGGAACGCCTTACCCTTGTTCAGAGGCGCCTTAAATAGTCGGTGGACGCGGAAGTGGCGCCTTGAAGCATCGGCCGCGTCATCCTGGGCGCTTCCCTTCCGGTAGGGGAGGGGCGATGCAATCCAGGCTGTGAAGCAAGCAGCTTGCGGTTCCCGGACTCATTACACACATCTACTAAACACAGCGATTGTAGAGCTCTCTTGACCTTCCTAAGCGCCGAATAGGACATATGATGGGTAGAGGCAGAGGTATCCACGAGAGGGTCCAGTACTAGATTAAGGTCCCCTCCAAAAATCAGCATTCCCTGCTGAAATTCCCGAAGAGCTGTCAAGCAATCATCCAGAAAGGATAGACGACCCTGATTGGGGCAATAGACTGACACTAGCATCACTCTCCTACCATTTAGGTCCCCATGTAAAAAACAGAAAGCGGCCTTGAGGATCAATATGTTGGGTCACCAAAGATCATCCGACCCCTCTGGACAGCAAAACTCTCACTGCCCTCATCTTGGAATGAGTCGTGGCACTGTGGTAACCTAGTGGAAACCGAAAACTAGAACATTTCGGAAAGTTAAACGTTTGGAAATGCGTCTCCTGTAAAAATGCCACATGGGCTTGAAGGTGCCACAATTCAGAGAGGATACAGGAGCGTTTATCAGGGGAATTTAAACCTTTTGCATTGAGGGACACTATCTGCACATCAGACATCTTCGACTTGGCAAAAAGGAGTAGACCCCCCCCCCCCAGTGCTTAGAGAAAAGTAAGAGCAGAAATGAGAAAGCAGAGAGAAACAAAGAGATAAAGGAAAGAAATTTAGCAGGAACAGCGAAAAGGGGTCTCCCAGGGAGAATCCCTGTTCCACTCAAAGAATACTCAGCAAAGACAGAAGAGGAAAAGCAGAAAAAGAGAAGACACAAGGCAAAAATGTAAATACAAAAACACAGCTAGTATGATCAAAAATGGTCCAGCATCGACATCCGCCCCCCCTACGCAAATGGTAGAGGAGAATGGGGGACGAAGCAAACTATGTGAGAGAATGGGCAGAAACAGCAGAATGTGCGTCCGTGCCCCAGTGTATGGTATAACAGTAATAATACAACAACATAAACAGCTTAACACGTCCACTAATTGTGGTGGCCCCCAAGGACTGCTCAAGGTGCCATCCAAAGACTCACGCAGAGGTGAGGACCATGACCCACCCCCCAGTTGTCGGTAAGTTCCCACAATATTTCCAACCCACCAAAAGGAGAATCTCAAAACAGCAAAAAGTAAATAAGAGGAAGAGATCATTGTAAAACTCTGTCCGGTGCAATCGTCGCATGGGGAGGAAAAAAACAAACACATTCCAAACATCCAAGCTACTAACCACTGATCGGGTACATAAGCAATGCTTTAGGGAATCCCTAAGGAATAACCCAGTGGAACCTGTAACCAAATAGCAATTATATGTACTTGAAAAAAGGCACAGGAAATATTAAATATTCTTATAAAAAGGCTAGCAGAGATCCAAAATAGAGGGACATGCCCACACAAAACAGGTGAAGAATAAACTCCCCTAACGAAAGAAGGTCCAGTCTGCAGAGAGGGAACCCTTCCCAAGAGGTCAAATATAGGAATGGGAAGAGCCACATCCAGGACCAAGGACTAAAGATGGAGGCAAACGAAATAAAGCAAGGGCCCCTATTCCGCAAACAAAAAGAAATACGTTTCGGGAAGCAAGTGCAAATGGGTAGACAAGCAGACAAGTGAACTAAAATAGGGTTCCCGGGAGGTAAGACTGGCGGCAGGGTCACTGGGGTTGACTCGCCTGGGACCAGGCTGGCGAATCCTCCATGGCAAGGGTGTTGGTAAGGTTAGCAAAGGCACCTCCAGGGAGGTCCAACCTGGAACCTCAAATAGTGGAATGGTGGAAGGTCCAAAAAGCGGAAGAGGTCAGGTAGCGGAGTGCGGGTCTGGAGAACAAAGGATTCTCCACCCCTACGAACGACCAGGTGAAACGGTATGAGAACGGTATGAGAAACCAGAGTCTTGAATCCTCTCGAACAGTGGTTTGAATACCCTGCGCATCTGCAATGTGCGACAGGATAGGCCAGGGAAAATGTGAAACAAAGCTCTATCAAACTTGATAGGACCATGTGACCAAGCTCTGTGGGGAATCTCTTCTTTGAGGTTGTAGAAATGGATTGTGTATAGGAGTATCCCTGGGTCTAGAAGAAAATGCCGATCTATAAGATTGGATCCTGTGAACTCTGTCAATTTCTATATTGGGATCACGGCCCAACAGCAGATTGAAAATTGACTGCACAGTGGTATATCAGCTTCAGGTTGTTCCTGCGACTACAATTTTCTAAATCATCCTGATGCAGATGGAGTCTCAGGAGTATTTAATTTTGGCGCCGTCGGGACTCCTCAAGAGCCTGCACTCAAAATTGCAGGGCTGAATGAGCTGACTCCATAGAGCAGGGGTCTCAAACTCAAGTCACTCGGGGGGGGGGGGGCCACCCGACAAAAGAAAATTTTATAGTCCGACTAGGTAGGTCCCACCATTGGGTGCAGTCTAATCACCCTAGGTACTTGTCCCTCACACCATGGTAGAAGCGTAAGAGGTATAGAGAACTTCGATTGTTTCAGCGTTACCCATAGCTTAGTGTCGATATTGCGACACCAATCTAAACTGCGTGTCAAATATGACACCATGTAATAAAGCTGGAAGTTCCTGAGGGCAAGACCTCCTGCCCTCTTGGGGAGCCGTAAGATCGATAACCGAAGCCTTGGAGCCTTACCGGCCCAAATAAAGTTAGTGATCGTCGCCTGTAAGCAGGTAAAAAAAGGAGCGTGGGACATTAATTGGAAGGGCCTAAAACAGATAGAGGAAACGCAGGAGCATGTTTTATTTGATAATGTTGCAGCGTCCCGTCCAGGTGAACGCAAGACGAGACCAACCTAGCAAGTCCAGTTTAACCTTCTGTAGCAATGGGGGGAAATTGAGACTAAATGTGTTTGCCAGATCTCGGGGGAGCAGTCGGGGAGTCATAGTCAGGTTCAGAGCCTTCAACTTCTGATTATTGACATGGAAGTTTGAGAGTTCGCCGTATAGTTTCAGGGCGGACATCAGATTAGGGACAATCATGTCCGGGGATATGATGAAGAACAATAAATCGTTCGCATAGGTGGCAACTTTGTGATAATGGGGACCCACGGTGATGCCTCGGATATCTGGATGTGCCCGAGTAGGGGTTCGAGCATCAGGATGAAAATAAGGGGCAAAAGTGGACACCCCTGTCTGGTACTGTTTGAGATAGCAAATGGGGCTGACAAGGTGCCATTAACACATACCCTGGCTGTTAGGTCTTTATACAAAGCCAGAATCCACAACAACATGCCCAGACCAAGCCCAATGTGTTCCAGGGTAAGGTGAAGGAAAGACCAGTCGATCCTGTCGAAGGCCTTCTCCGCATCAGTGGGCAAAAGGAGACTGGGCAAGGTCTTCGACAGGGCCAAGTGGATGATGTTAAGGGCAAGGGTAGTGTTATCCCGCAGCTCAGTTTGAGGACTAGGGAGATTATAGAGGGATGAATAATAGTGCTGAAATATGGTAGCTATGTCCTCCACAGCAAAGCCGCCCGGAAGAGGTTTTGATCGCTGGTACAAAAGTCTGTGAATGTTGTTGACGAAGTGCCTGAGCAAGAGAACGGCTACACTGGTTACCATATTCGTAAAAATGTCTAAAAACACTCTAAATACAAAGGGATCCATTCATTTTACCTCTAGTAAGTAGGTGAGGTGACTTCTTCTATATCCATCTCCATAAGCATCCAAGATTTTCATTAGACATCTATGGAAAAACAATGTTTTATAAAGTAGGTCCAGAATTTTTTTTTTATATCTATCAATCTATCTATCTATCTATACACACACATATACAGTCTGTATATGCAGTGCTCAGCATAAATGAGTACACACCAACAGATGTCAGAAAAAGTTTCCTATCCTTTCAGAAATCAACATTTTCTATGGGACACTATACTACACAATACTCTCACAAATGCAGGATATTGATTGCAACTAGGGATGTCCCGATACTGATGCTAGCTTCAGTATCGGGCCCGATACAGGGCATTTTCACAAGTACTTGTGAAAATGCCCCGTTGCCTAACGCCGATGCTTGCGCATCAGTGTTGATTTCGTATTGCCCGACGCCCGGGACATATAGTTCTGGGCACACGAGAGCAGGGGGCGTGGAGCGGTGACGGCGGGAGGCGTGGAGCGGTGACAGCGGGGGGCATGGAGCGGTGACGGCGGGGGGCGTGGAGCGGTGACAGGGCAGGGGACGTGGAGTGGTGACGGAGCCGGGGA